TTTGAAGAAATTAACCCTTAGTCATCCATCAGCGTGATAAGAAATGACAGAAACCATCTTTGAGAAAAATGTATGTGACACGCACCTTGACTTTTTAGTTTGGCCCATAACAAATCCACTAACATGGAGGAGGTGGGATTTATGACCCATACTGCAGCCAGCCACTTTAGCTTCACTGGGGACCTGTCATGTCGTCCGTCTTTATTTACAGTCTATGAGGTTTACCAGTGAACAGAAAGCGGCTGAACTGTCAAGCTTCATTTGCTCTAAAACAACACAACATCATCTTTCTAACATTATTATTGGGAGAATGTTAGAGTCAAGTATAGGAAGACATTTTCTGCTTCTTTTCAGATTCATAGAATGAATTTGAACTACCCCTCGAGCTTTGTACCAGCACATTAGATCTTGCCTCCTTAAGAATGTAGTGCCTGGCCTTAAGCTATTTAGTTTTCAGGCTCACAGCCGTGCAACGAAGCAGGTCTTGACCAATTAGAAACAAATAGTTTTTTGTTTCACACGTGTCGCTGCATATTTGTCTGTTGGAACAAAACCTGGTACGCTCTAGAACTAAACATTTTTAATACTCACACACAACTCATACATCAGTAGTATCCAGCAGAGAGCTTCTTAATTGCTACTGCAAGTTGTTGACAGCCTGCTGAGTCTTTGAAGTGAAGGTATGGCTCTGTCTTTCCAGCTCTATTTATTTGGATAGCACTAATGAAGATGAGCCAGAAGGAGAGAGACAGTGAGAGAAGCAATAATGAGATGAGTTTGAGTCAGTTGAGATATAAAAACATAAGCAGTGGCCGACTGTCCAAAAGACATGAAACGATGTGCAGACACCACAAAAGCAGTGATCCTCATTTTCCATTTACACAAGACTAATGTCTACTATTGGATGATAAGTTACAGTAAGAGTATTCACCAGATTCACACGTCAGACACTGTCCTCCTTTATGTCATGTCGTAGGTGTATGTCGTATCAGCTACTGCTGTGTTCCAGGTTGCATTTCCAAATCTGACTACTCATTGTCATTTCACTGCCTCACAATCTATCAGCAACTAAAGATAGTGAAAATCTGTAATTAACATACGGTGTTCGGGTAGGTAAAATTTGCACTGGAATAAAGCTTTTAGTTTAAATGTGTGTTCTTGGGATTGTTACTGATTCAACCAGAACATTTAAAAGGTTGGGTGAACAGACAGCTAAAGAGTTCATGTAAATCAGCTAGCTAGATTCCATCCTGTTCATTTCTTGTTGAAAGATCGATAAATATGTCCAAAATGTGGATTAATCAGCCATTTGGGAATTATAGCACCTTTATTTTAGCATCACAGTAGTATTGAAAAGTGATGTTGGCTAGTAAATAACTAAATGCTACCGTTGGCTTTTGGCAAATATGTTGTTTTGCCATGAAACACAGTTTGATCCTCCAATTTTTCAGATCCATTGTCTTTTCAGTTGCTGATCAATTGGGAAGCAGTAACATTTTAGGAATTTATCTTGTGTTTACAGGACTTTATCCTTTTGATAACAGCATTTCAGCTTCATTTCCACCCTGAGCGTGATGAAAAAGTGACCATATTAATCAGGGGAATGGTCTTTAGATAAAACCTTCTGCTGTTTGGTTCTGATATCAAAGTGTTAGAGACACTGTCAGGATGAGGACCGGCCCTCATATCTGATTCTTGATCTAAATGTGCGCATTCAAGCACAATCAAAGAAAATAAAAAACACAGCTCTTATCAAAAGCCCCCCCAACACATTGATGTCTTATCTGGCCAAAAAAGCAAACTATGTCAGATTAGTTTTTAAAACTTTTCAGAGGAAAAATGGAGAAGAGCAGAAAAGTTGTGACAAAGGAAAAATTCTAGGACAATGATAAAAACAGTGAATGGGAAAGAAGGACTGATGGTTAACAGCTAAACAAACAGAGGGGGAAAAGTTTCATAAACAATAAGGTGAAGGGATTTTATAACAAATATTTGAAGGACGTGGAGAAAGAGAACAGGTGCTCGGAGTAAGAAAAGCAACAGAGGTAGAGGAGAAGAAGGCAGGAGATGTTTTCGCTTCATCACGTACCATCTCTCTTTTCTTCTCTTGGTGGTACCTGATTAAGTTGTCAGTCAACAGATGTCTCCAAATTATAGGGATTGTCAAAGACAAACAGAGATGGAAGAGAAGATAAGGCAACAGACAGATGCCCATGTCGTGTGTGTGTGTGTGTGTGTGTGTGTGT